ACTTCCTACTCGTAAAAGCCACAGGACGGCCTTGCTGCAACAGAACAGCACCGGATCCGTAAAGAGAAGCGTCAGTCACTACCTCGACACGGAACGGCAACGAGTAATCGGGAAAACGCAGGATAAGGTCGTTAGTGACCGCACGCTTTAACGCATCGAAAGCCTGCTGGCACTCAGCTGTCCACGCGGCAGGCGACGAAAACGCACCCTTACGAGTCAAGTTGGTCAGGGGCGCAGCTATTACAGAATAGCGCGCAATAAACTTACGAAAGTAATTCGTCAACCCCAGGAACTTACGAAGTTCCTGCAGAGAGGTGGGCGCTGGCCAATCCCGTACAGCAGCAGTTTTACGGGGATCCATCCGAACACCGTCGGCAGAGACGATGTGGCCAAGATACTCCACCTGGGGTTGCGCCCAATGGCACTTAGAGAGCTTTGCGTATAGTTTCTCACGCCGCAGCACCTGAAGGACAGAACGCAAGTGCTGCAGATGCTCTTCGCGCGTTTTGGAAAAGACTAGGAGATCGTCAAGGTAAACAATCAGAAACTTGTCGATAAACGGGTGAAAAAGGCGATCCATAACGGCTTGAAAAGTCGCGGGAGCATTAGTCAAGCCGAAACTAATGACCGTATACTCGTAATGACCAAAGGGAGTGCGAAAGGCAGTTTTCGGGATGTCCGACTCCGCGATGCGGATCTGAGTATACCCCTGTTGAAGGTCAATCGAGCTAAAGTAAGCGGAACCGCGCAACTTGTCAAGCAGGTCGTCAACGCGCGGAAGGGGGTAACGATTCTTAACCGTCGTAGCATTCAAACCCCGGTAATCGATGCACATGCGTAGACTACCATCTTTCTTACCCACAAACAGGATTGGGGCAGAATACGGGGAAGTGCTAGGACGAATCATACCCTTTTTCAGCAAGTCGGTAACCTGGCGCTTGACTTCGTCGAGTTCCAGAGGGCTCAGGCGGTACATAGGACGAGTTACCGGAGTCGCCCCAGGAGTGAGAGGAATCGTGTGGTCGACAGACCGAACAGGAGGGATCCCTGGAATCTCCTGAAAAACGTCGGAAAACTCGTTCAACAGGGATTGCAGCTCAGGGTCCGACGGGTCAGTAACGGTAACGGCAGAGTTCAGTTGCAGTTTAGGCCGAACTAACAGACCATGCGCGCCTTTGCGAATAAGTCGAACTGCAGCTTTTCGACCTATGGGCTCAGGGGTGGCATGCCGGCAAAGCGCGGCTATGGCGTAATGAACTTGCGGTTCTGACTGCGAGGTACCCTGATCGGAAGGATCGCGCTCCATGGTAACGAAAGGCGCCTTATAAACGAGAGTCCCTTTGCGCAACCGCAGGGTGCGTGATTCGAAACTAAGGACGCCCCCGTACCGCGAGAATGTAGAGGACCCTATGATGTACGTGGCAGGCGCAGGCAACTCAGGCAACACGTATGGATGCACCGATAAACGCAAAGGTCCCACAGAAAGACGCAGAGTAACCCGACCTAAGATAGCTTGCTTATCCCCATTCGCGAGCGTGACATGCGACCAGGAACAGGCACTAGGCGTCAACCCAAGCCGCTTCACCTCAGAGAGAGAGATAAAGTCGTCGCTGGCGCCAGAATCAGCAAGCGCGAGTAGAGTATTGTGGACGACGCGGACTTGGACAAGAGGCACCCTTGCACCTGGCAGAGCGGCAGACTGAGGAGAGAGCAGAAAAGCCGAAAGACGAGGTGAAGTGTCACGCAAATCGACAGCGGGTCGCGGGGGATCATACCAAACGTCGAAGGCAGACATTGACCCAGAAAACGGCACAGGCCGACCCTCCAGATCGAGTCCGTTGAACAGCGGTGTTCTTGGACTAAACTGCAGAACGCGCTGCATCCCGGCCAGCAGGGCCGAAGCACAGTGTGTGGTGTAGGTAGGTGTAATGATACACGCTGCAGTTTCCGAGTGCTGACGTTTGCAGAGATGGTACGCAGTCAGCTGCGTCTGCAACTCTGAAATGGAAGAGGGGAGGAAGAGGACCGTATGCCCACGCAGGTCGTTAGCAGAGAGAGAGACTGGGAACTAGGCACAAGCGGGTTACACAACGCATCCCAGCCACTCTTCGCAGAACGAGCATCAAACGTCAGCTTTCGTCCAATAGCTCGCTCAACCTGCGCTAACACAGAGGGCAGTAGTGCCCTGGAAGCCCGCATGGCAGGCAGCTCGGTCTCTACATCTAACCCAGGAGGAGTCCCTTCCTCAGCAGCCTGGGCAACCCCCTACTTCTTGGGCCACAACGGGCAAGCCCCCGTCGGATGGCCATCCCCACAACGCATGCACTTATTCCTCTTTCTGCGCTCATCAAGCTCGGACTTAGTGCAGCAATACTTCTCTAGCCACTGGTCGTCGTCACGTTTGCGTTTCTGTCCCAACTGCTGACTAGGCCCAGCCTCGGAAGGCCCCTGATTACTTCTAGGACCCTTGGGCTGCCACCGGCGCTGTTCCCGGCGACCCCCCTTTGGCTTACCGGCACCCGGGGCGGCAACTGTGCCACCCTCTCTGCCCTCAGGACCCCCGACAGCGACGGCAGCGCGAGGGACGGGTGCCGACGCCGCAGCAGGGGCGCCAACCGGGTCCAGCTCCGGGGCCTGCGAAACAAGGGCATTAGCACGGGGAGCAGAACGAAAAGCTTGCTTTCGGGCAAGGAGGCGCATTTCTACGCCCAACGCAAAACGGTAAAGGTGGTTGTAAGAGGAAAACGGCATTCCTAGAAGGTCGGTAGCGCACTGCGCTACCGTAGGCATTCGCCTACGAGTTCCTCAGATAGCCCACGCTGAAACCAGAAAATTCTACTTCCTTCTGAAAAGTCTGCAATAGGCGTAATAAGCGCCTCGAAACGCGACTGGTAGGAAGAGATGTTCTCACCAGGGCGCATACGGTAAGTACCACTCGCGAGAACGGAGCGAGCTTCCACGTCGCGGGGCAAGACTTCAGGAGCAAAACGGGCAAGTAATGCAGTAAATAGCTCGTCCGACGTGAACGAAATCCGGGCCGTTGACCACTGATCGTACCAGGCTTTGGCGGCACCATCCAAAGCGTTGGCAATGAACAGGCAACGAACCGGTTCCCGATCACCACCCCGAACTAGCTGAAGGTACTGCTTTGCATCCCGGACGAACGCGCGCGTACTGTCGGCCGCAGCTCGACCTAAATCACGAGATCGAAGGTCGGAAGGAAAGTTCAACCTAGGAACTGGGACGGAAAGTCTAAGTACCTCAACGTCCTGAACGGGTAAAAATGCAGCAGCCGTAGGAGCCCTTTCTGCGCCACCAGCACCGTGGGCGGAAGAGGCTACGAGTAACGGCGGCGGCGGAACAGCGGCAACAGGCGTGGGATCCTGCCCTACGTGAGGCACTGGGGCAGCGACAGGGTTAATAGGAACCACCGGGGCAGCGATAGGGACTGTCCGCGCGGGACCACCCTCAACGACTAAATCAGGCGGACCCCAGCGATTTCGCCTAACCCCATCAGCTACGTTCCAGGAAGGGGGAACAGCACTTAAAGCTCCCTGCTGGCCATCCGCGAGGACAGGTAAAGGCGCGTTTCCGGAGTTGGCAGGCAACATGGCGAAGCGACCCAACCCGAAAAGCGAAGGAAAAAGAGGTAGCAAAGGTAACCCTACCGAAAAGAAAGACTTCCTCGGCACAGCGATGGACTTCCTCTATCGCTTGCAATGCACCACGGGAGAGGTACACAAGTTCGCGCAAGCGAGGGATCGCAGCAGAGGTAGGTATAGCAGCACCCGCTACAACGAGAGGGCCCGCGGATGCGGCGGCAGCCATCACCGCATTGCCGAGGTCAGCAGCAAAAGTCGCCAAAGGACCGTAATCTTCAGAATAGGCCGACGTAGTCTCTTCTGAAGAAAAGTTCATACTATTGCAAACTAAAAGAAAAAGTGCGGAGGCGTGAATGAGACTGGTCCGTAAGGAACCCGTCTCGATACCAGATTTGTTGTAGAGTTCAGACGACACAACCACATAATGGGGGCATCGAAAGATACCGATTGAGACAAGTGTCTTGATTAAGTAGTCATCAGTGACTCCACTTGGGCCTCGCACCGACAGGAGTCCCCAGTACGACTGGGCGGCGCCGTATCCAGAAGCCATAGTTCGCAGGAACTACTCTCGCTCGGTCAGACGAAACTGGGACGCAGGTCCCAGCTTTACGTAAGTAAAACCCCCGCCCATACGCAGGTATGGACTTCCGCAGCGGTGCGGCATTAAGGTGGCGGACGACTAACAGTAGTCGCTTTAGCCGCCTGCAGCTAACAGTAGCCGCAACGCGCCCATATGCAGATATGGACTTCCGCAGTAATGCGGCACTTGAATGGCGGACGACTAACAGTAGTCGCTATAGCCACCGTCGCCCATAGACTTCCGCAGCAGTGCGGCACTTGAAGGGCGGACAACTAACAGTAGTCGTTTTATCCGCCGGCGCCTATGGACTTCCGCAACAGTGCGGCATTTGGATGGCGGACGACTAACAGTAGTCGCTATAGCCGCCGGCGCCCATGCACTTCCGCAACAGTGCGGCACTTGAAGGGCGGACGACTAACGGTAGTCGCTTTAGCCGCCGACGCCCATGGACTTCCGCAACAGTGCGGCATTAAGGTGGCGGACGACTAACAGTAGTCGCTTTAGCCGCCACAGCTAGCAGTAGCCGCAAGTAAACTAATATCAGTATTAGTTAAACCTGTAATCACCGCCAACGGAATTGATGGGTGTTAGTTAGTAATAGTGAAGTTCGGTGGACGAGATAACCACCGACAGTTAGGATTCGGAGCCCAAACCGTTGCAGAAAACCTTTACAGGATACAACAAGAATCCGCCGCTGACACTTCTCCGCAGCGCACAGACGCGCCCATGGGCCTCGCGGCGCATCCTCTCTTGGCATAACACCATAAATGGATTTTCTTTATTTATTATTCAGAACTACAGGACAACGAAGGAACATATCAGAGGTTCTTATAGATCTCGAAATCCACAATTACAGAGATCAGCGCCGAAGACCCAACAATCCGACCCAGGCAGCCTTCACCACAACCACCACCATCATCGTCATCATCATTATCACGGGGCACCCCGGGGGGCCGGGGGGCAGGCGGGGCGGGCGGCCCCCACCGCCGGCGCCCGTGCCCCCGGCCCGGGCCACCCGTGCCTGGCGGGCCCCCGGCCGCCGTGGGCCCCGCGGGGGTGGGCGGGGGGGCCGGGCCGCCGGCCCCGGGGCCGTGCAGGCCCCCGGCATGCCCCAGGCCCGGGGGCCGGCCGGCGCCCCCGCGCGCCCAGCGGGCCCGGCGCCGGCCAGGGCCCCGCGGGAGGCTGTACGGTAATCGTTACTACGACGACGACTACGAGTCAACAGACAGAGGGGAGCGGCCCAGGATGATGCCCATGTCGGCGGCAGACGTGGGAGTGGCGGGCAATGAAGTGACGGGGTGTTTTCGTGTCTGTGTTACTGGACCCTTCCTTACACATGTCACACACCTCTGTGTAGGCACTCTGCGAAAGCTGCCAAGGGAATCCGCCATCCATCGCGAGACGGGGTACGTCAGTACTGCTGTACAACGTACGGCACCCGCAAACACATCCCCACAGCCGCACCACATAGCAGACCAAGATCGTTACTCATTCTTGAGTGCAGCACGGGGCCTGTTGTCTAGCTAAGAACCTTACAAAGCCCCAGTTCAGTTTAGAGCCGAAAAACGATTACCATCCAACGCTTACGGCTATTTATGCTGCCAAAAAGGTCCTCTACGGTATGGTGACCAAAACCAGCTCAGCATGTCGTGAACCGTTGATGTTTGTGCCAATTGAAGGCAAGCGAGTGCAGCGGTTGTCTGTTCAGTGCGGGAAGTGGCTGAGTGCGACGCCAACTATCGGTGGGTTGGTAGCTGTCGGTTGATATTTTGGATCCGATTGTCGTACAGGCCGCATTGTGGCCTTGGGGCGCGCGCTTCCTGTCGGAAGCGCTTCTTGTGGTAGGATTCACGCAGGGTGAGCGCTGCAGTAACACGCCTACAGCCCGGGCTAAGCTGACACGGTTACTGGCCCTGCGGCCTGACCTTGCTGGCGAGGCCGCGCTCTCTAGGTTCCCTGTTCCGGGACGATGCGCGGGCAGTCCGCTGGCAGTGGCGGCTGCGCACCGAAGCTCCTCCTAGGCCTAGCTGATAGTCGGCCGGCTGATCAGGCCGGCCGGGCTGTGTAATGAGCAAGCATAACATTGGCTATGTGGGCCGCCCCCATGGCAATGTGGAGGCCGTGCGTTCCATCCATCGGTAGACGCAATGCACTGTTACGAACCCCACCCCACCCAAGCAATCATGCCATCACATGCACATGACAAGCATCCCGGGATGGTCACACGAACGCGGCGCTGCTCAGAATAAGGCGTCAGGCAGCGCCATGTACCCAGGCATGCTAACAAAATATCGTACATGTTCTAAAGACGCACCTGCACAAGATCGTCCAAATGGAAAGTCGGCGCTCACCAAGAGGGGAGACACTGCAAAACCCGATCAACTACCACTGATTACGTCAGGCCGTGCGTGATGCACCCAAAGCCAACTTGCTTGCTAGTGTTGGGCTTGGCCTTGAACAAAGTCCAGACGGAATGTACACAAAGTTGGCCCTAACGAAAGCACACCTCGGGAGGGAAACAATTGGGCCTAGATACGTATGGCAGCCAAGCATACGGGAATCGAAGCAATTCAACCACAACCAGATTGGCGTCCTTGAATTTTGTGACACGCAGGTCACATGGGGCAATGACGAGATGGTTGCCAAACGGCCCACCTATCCCGGGGCAGGCACGCAAACCGGGTCATTATCAAGATGAACAAGCACCAGCAGCCACCCGCATCAAGCCAAGACCAAGGACAACGCCGGCACCGGCCCCGTGGGACAAGCAGGTGGCGAGTCGAAAGTGTGGGGGCCGCAGCAGCGCACCTCCCAGTTTGAGAAGAGCTGTCGTACGGTACAGCGGGTGGGTGGGTCCTGAGCGGTCCAGAGATATCATCGTAGGGTCTGGCAACAATTTCCCAGGTACTCGCATACCCTCACACAAATCCTTACCACCTCTCTTCTCCAGCCTCCTTGCCCCTTAACAAACTAAATCTGAATCATCAACTCACTTGACAGCCATGTCCCACATCCTTCAAGTGCGAGCTACTCTTTCTTACTACCCCTACCACAGCGTGGCGTAATTAATCGATAGTGGAGTCACTGGTGGCAAGGCACCCGGGCCTACCACGACTTGCCACTAGACACTACACTTGTGCCGCCCAGTGCAATGTCCGATTGCGTCCAGGTGTTCGGCCGATCTCATTCTGTCACTCCCCGCCACGCATAAGCCTAGATTGATCTGAACCTTGTCATGTTATGTTCCTCTCCACATGATAACACAGGAAAGCTCACAACTCGGGCCGCCTGGCTGTTCTCAAAGACAAAACTTCTTCACCAGCCGCGGAGCTCAACAGTCCCTACAGTTGATACGAAACTCTCCAAGCATGTGCGGATTCCACCAACACCAAGGCAGCCGCCGAGACGGGTGAGGATGGCTGGCGCTTTACTCTCAGCAGCGATACGCATAAACACGACGGTGCAGTTCACTTTTAACTTGAATGCAGAGGCTCCAGGAGTGCTGGTCGACATGAGCTTCCTCAGGTCATTAGGGTGCAAGCACCAGGACACCACGGCTTGAGCGTCTTCGGATGTGGCTGGTACAGAAGGGCGGGGCCCCTCGCCATACGGTCGCACACCACAAAAGAACATCTTGTCGAATTCAGGGTTCCTCGAAACCTGGCATGCTGGCAGAGGGTTCGCACGATCTGCTGACCCTGCAGGCCGGTTCCAGCAGGCGCTTGGGTTGCTCACATTGTAGATAAACGGTGTGTGGTCCGACTGCTGCTTCCACATGCTGAGCTGCCACTCCCAGCCCACACCGAGTTCATAACCGCGGCCACCAATAATGCGCTTGTGGAATCCGTGATCTCGCCACGTCGTCGTGAGGGACGTCGAGGTCTGAGTGGCACCTGACCACTCTGCGGCCCCTGAGGCACCAGCTGCACTCCCCTGCAGGCTGGCCTTAAGGGTAGTCGCCTTGTTGTGGCCCAGCACGACGCTGTAAGTCTGCGAAGGTTGCACACCTGGATAGATCCTCTCGGGTGATTGCAACGAAGTAAAGCCTTCCGGTTGCAGGCTTAGGATGGCGCTGGACGGATAGAACCCCTGCACCACAAACATATATAATGATAAGTTGCTGGTTGTGTACGCCCACGCCCACGTGCGCAAGTAGGACGTCGCGGCAAGGCGCAAACGGGCAGCCGGGGTGGGACTCGCACCGAGACCCACCCTGGAGCATGTGGCGGAGCTCTACGGCATACAGTTACAAGCGCCGGCATACAGTTGCAAGCGCAGTTTTACAAACTAAAATCACCAACACATAAGAAATTTACTGCACAAAGCTGCCAGGTCACAAGAGTGCACGTTCCTGATCAAAGAAATATGTGCCGTACAAATTGCTACAATATGCTCTAGGCAGGGGCATGCTCCAGGGTGGCTCTCGGTGCGAGTCCGACCCCGTCCAGCCCGTTTGCCGGCAAGGCAGCAAATGGCGTCACCTCACCAGGTATTTGTTGTCCTCGCTATACATTCTCTCCACTCCGAACTCAAAATCCTTGATTTCCACGGTCAGCATGCATTGGTCAGACCCCAGAATGGAAACGATAGGGACGACCCTCAACCTTACGAAAGGAGCACTGTCAGTGAACCTTACAGGCGGGACTGCGTTAGTCGCAGAGTAAGTCGCAGATAACTGAGAAATCAACTGAGCGTCAGGAAGCTTGAATCCACCTTCCCCCGCTGCTCTCGTAAGCATGTCGTCCACCGTCATAGGCTGGGCGGTGGACGTCATGGGCGTGATGCCGCCGGACTTCACATCCCACGAAGTGGGATGTAGCCCTCTACAGCATGCCACCTTGGGCACTATGAAGCATATCTCTGTTGCTCGGCCATACTCGCGGCCATCCGGCACTGGCCCATCCACCTCTTTCAGTTTATCTGACAGCCCCCAATCCTCCAGCTCCTTGAGGATCCTTTCCCGATCTCCGTCATGCTGGAGCTGGAAAACGAGGACGTTAGGATAATAATTCCAATCATCTGTCAGAGCCTCGACTATAGACTCCGCCGCTAACTTTGACGATTCAGACAGCTCACACATCAAAGCTGGCGCGGACATAAAAGACAGGTTAGATATGTTGGATGCGTCGTGTGGGATGGATCACTTTCCAGCTCTGCGAAGGGCGCAACGAAGGAAGTAGGGGCTACGGCTCCGAAGGATGATTGTATTGTATTGTTGTATTGTATTGTATGCTATTGCATTGTATTGTATTATTACATGTTGTACCGGCCGTATGGCCAATAACAAACACGTGTCCCACAACGATTTACGTCAAGGGGCGTACACTTATCTCTTGTAACAGTTGGTAAACTAACTCTGTTACAATTTGGTCTCGATACCAAATTTTAACAGAGTTCGGGCCCTATAGGGTCCTGAACCCAGTGTTCGGGCCGAAACGGAAACCTGCCGAAACGGAAACCTGCCGAAACTAGTTTCGGTGATTCCGGCGAAGAGGTCCTGGTTCTGCGGAAATGCCGAAACTAGTTTCGGCCCCTTTCGGCTAGCGCCGTACGGCGGAACCTACTTTGAATGGTTTCAAAGTGTAGGCGCGTTGTGCAAGGCTGCGAAACTCTGCGAATGTTGAGTTTATCTTATCAATGTCTCAGACAACTTCCGTTGTCAGTGCAGACACAGATTCGGTCAAAAACAAGGGCGGAAGGACCGCTGATCAGACCGTTTGGGCTCATTTTGAGAAGAAAAAATATAATGCAAAATGTAAGAACTGGACTATCATCTGCAAGTACTGCCGGACCGAGTCCAAGCAAGGGCGCCTTCAGGAGATGCGCGTCCATATCGCGCAAAAGTGCGCGGGACCCGTCCCGCCTGAGGTCCGGCACGAGCTGCAGGCAGTAGTGACCAAGGGCGCCTGCAGCGCCTCGACTCGCACCTTGACACAGATTAGTAACATTATGGTGCCCCGGAGTGCCTTCGGACACACATGAGCAGGTCCCATGAGGCGCAAAGGCACATAGGGCCCACGAACAACGTTTGCATACCATGGACGTCATAAAATACAGCATTTTCAGGGTTTCGGCAGGTTCCGGCAGGTTCCGCCAGGTTTCACAGAAGGGTCCAAAAAGCGGAAACTATTTCGGCATTGGCAGTAAGGTTTCGGCCCGTACACTGCCTGAACCGTTGGTAAACTAACTCTGTTAATATCTCCTTCGGCCTGCAAATGTATAATGTAATATAGAATTATACTCTGAATTAAAGTTGTTATGGGGTCAAGGTCTAGTTCTTCACGAATTCAAAGTTTGCATGGCCATTTCGTCGCCGTGCGTGCTGAGGTCATACCGTCACCCAGGAGCGCCTGCTCTTGCGCGCACACGTCCTAATCCCAGTCTTTTATCGAAAAGAAGTTCTGGATTTGTTCCTGAGTAATTGTCAGGGCATCTGGGCTTCTGGCTGGCCTCATGCTTGGACCATCGAGCTGAACTAAGCCAAGCTAAGCAAGAAACGGTTTATATTGTGATAATATAATGCGAGTGTGAAAGGTTTGTCGCATTGCTTTCTAGGGGATGCCAGGGGCGGGTGCCTTTTGTGGCTTCCGCAGGCGTGCAGCGGGACAAGGCGGGACACGAGCACTACCGGGGCACGAGTGTCCTGCATTACTGACCCTCATCCATCGCCCGTCGTCCTTAACAGCGTGTCCTTTCATCCAAATAATTTGTTAGACCAAACGGACGACGAGCCTCGGTTTGCCGCTCGATTTGTTGTGCGTGTCCATCTCGGTTCTCTCCCCACCAAACAACCCCCACATCAATCAAAACGCGGAAATAAAGCCGTGAACCTCAAACCAAGGCCGGACCCGGACCGAGAGCGCAATGCGCGCCAACCCTGCCGCTCGGCAGCCGTTCTCTCGAGGCTCATTCATTTGCGGCGAACTGCATGAACCCATGGACCCCAAAACAAGGCAGAACCCGGACCGAGAGCGCAATGCGCGCCAACCCTGTCCCTTCTGCCGCTCCTGCAAGGCCCCGACCAATTATCTTGACTAAGCGCATCCCCCAGAGGAAGTACTCGAATTTACATAGGATATCCCGCTGCCCCGTGCCGGCCCGGGCGCCCGCAGGCCCACGCCCCGGCCCCGGGGGCCGCCCGGCCCGGGCCGGCCGCGCCCCCG